CAGGAATACAATACATTGCTTAAGTGATGTTGCACTTCATTTTATGAGAGAGCTTTTACTGTTTTGGGGTTTTTTTTCAATTTTTTTTTTAATTCGTAAGAGAGAAGACAGTAAACATTTGAGAAACAGCAACAGGACAAGCTTGACTTACCTTAAAAATACCAACCCAGTCTTTCTGATGAGGATGGATAAACTGGGTCAGAGTGTAGTGACATTCAAGGTGTGTGTTCGGAAGGTAACTTTTTGCCACATTTTGAAAAATCACATGTGCAAAATTGGAAGTCTGCAAAGTGTTAACTGAAGATGGAACTTCTTGAAAGGATGACATGATTGATCTGTAACAAAATTGTAGAAGTTGATATGTCAATATAGTGGGAAAATTAGTTAAGTTACAAAAATTAATCTATTTGAAATATACAAGACAGAGAAATATAACAATTAGTTCCTCTGTTGTGAAAACAGATAGCTGTAAACTAAGTCCTTCGAAGTGCACTTGCCTCAGCATCACTCCAAAACAATGACCTCTCAGAATAAAAGGGCAGTCATTTCAGCAATGACATGGAGAGAAAGCACTGCTTAGCTGAATGGCTCCAGTATTATATCTCAGATACAGTGGCAGAAAGTGGGAAATTAAAGCAGTGGTGTGAAAACAAAGCAGGGTTCTAACTTAATTCTTGATGTTTCTGGAAGTAGCAGGGAAGGACAAAAAAAGCTCCACAGTTTCCCTACCTTTAACTTTTCTCAGAATCTGTACTGCTCGGTGGTTTTCACAACATTTTTATAGATAAAGTTTTTCTTCCCCTCTCAATAAGAGGGTTTTTTCTCTTCTTCAGAACAGTTCTCTGCCTCTGTTTACCAGTCTGTGGGCATCTTTTACTGCTCTCACTGTAACACATATGCTCCCAGCTCTGCATGTTTAGCTGCCTTACCCTAACAATGGACTTCATTATAGTGGGAACATTTAGGTATGCATGCAGTTTGAGGGATTAACACTAATCAGTCAGACTGCAAAAGCTTTTAATCATGCTTTTCCATTCACCACCTCATTCGGGATATATAGTGCTAAAAATTACAGCAATACAAAATGCTTAACAAGCAGAACAAGAACATCCCTGGATTCAGCAGTATCTGCCAAAAATACGAGATAAGCAACTGAGAAATTTGAAGTGTCTGATTTCAACATACAATCACAAATTTGTCAATGTGTTTGATATTAGGTGGATCGGGCCCTTATGCATCTTATTCATTTCTAGAAAGATGAGCCATCCTATTCTTGCAACTACTATTAAAAGTAATTTTATACTGACCAAGCAAATTCACACCTTGAATGAGGGAACTGCCAAGTGTGTGACATAATAAATAATTTCCATTGAAAGATACGCATGAAAACCAATCCCAGAAAGGGACGGGCCACTGCAAGCCGCAAGAAGTCCAAAGACTAAAGGCTGTCTATGTATTTCCTATAGCCTTTTAAAGTTTCTTTTCACCAGTTAAAAGGCAAGTAGGAAATTTCACATTTTCTGAAATAAAATGCACTCTGAAATAAACAGGTATACATCACTCAAAACAAAGGAAAGGTAAGTAAGATTTAGGCCCTCAATGTTTTCAGCTTATTACTACCCAATTTTGTGTAACACATGAAGTACACATGGGCAGCCATTAAATTACTTTGACGTATCAGATGTTAAAGTTTTGTACACTGAACGCCACTAGCAACAAGAAAAAATACCAAGGTTGTAAAGATTAACATATATAAAGGACAAACCCAAGAAATTACATGAGCAGGAAATTGAGTAACAATCAAAAGACAGATTTTTAGAGATAATAGGGTACACATATATCCCATCTGTTATCTAGCTTCAGAGTCCAGAAGAGTGTAGGAAATGTTACAGCATAGTAAAACCCTGAGAACTCCCACACCTCTCAAAACAGAGGATTATATTTAAAACATCTCCCCAATCAGCTCTGAACTATAACTGGTATGAAGCAGCAGTTTCTACAATTCTAGAAGAAACACAATAGCCTTTTTCTTTTAATTTTTAATAATTTAGTAGTACCTGAAGCCAAATATTGACATGAAACGGACAGTTTCAGTTTTCATTACCCACAGTAAGTACAAAAAGAGTAAAAAAAGCACTAATAACAAAACCAACTGAATTTACCTTATTTTTTTACTAGGGGTATTTTTTAAAATTGATAGTTTATTCTAAGAACGTATTATAAAAAAAAAACCAAAAAACACACAAACCAAAAACCCTCCACCAAAAAGCCACAAAAAACCCCAAAAACCAAACATTCCTTTCTGCACACTGGTTGCCAGCTACCACAGCTGAGTACTAGCCTTAGTGAAACCAGTAAAGGGAAGCTGGTTTCCAAGCCCAAAGCAGAACTATTCACTAATATAAACTTCTGCAGACCGGCAGAATCATCTGGGATTACTGTTCCCCGACAGGAAAATCCCCGGGGCTTAGGTGAAGCTGAGATCTACTTACAGTTCAAGGGTAGTTTAGGGGATGTTGGGTGCTTGTTTACTTAGCTCACAGCTCCCGGTTAGGAAACAGAGAGGAGGAGGAAGAGCTACAATTCGGCTTCGTTACTGACATAACAAGCGATTCCCTCGGGAAGGCTGATGGACACGTTTAGTTTTATGCGCCGCAAAGGACGGCAGAAGGAAAAGCTCGTCGGGCAGGAAAAAC